ATTATTGACCTTCAACCATATTTTTCTACATTTCTACAGAAGTTAGATCATAAATTGACTCGTAAGTTTCAGGTTTCAGATAGATATTGCAACAAGTAAATGTATAAAAGAATAACTAAATTGGAATAGAATATATTTGAAAGTCGAAATACATCAGGATTTAGATTATTTAATAGAAACTATTTAATGAAAGATAGAAATCTAATTTAATTAGGAATCAGAATTCCTTGAAAATACTTTCGAAATTCAATTGTTTGATTCAACAGATGCGTGAATAACGATACTCTCTACCCTTCCTTCTTAAAACAAAAGTTGTAACTCTTTATTTGCCAATTCCCAATAACATTTTCAAAACTAGCAATGATTTTCAGTTGAATTTATATCTATTTTAAACAGTGTCAGAGGAATACGAATTGGTCGCCATTTATATTAGGAGATCCATTAAATAATTTTAATTCACCTAACTATAGCTTCAAAAAGATGAGGAAATGGACTCGATGATAAATCAAGTAGAGTTCAGTTCCACAGATGAGAGCATTGAAGAGGAAATAAAATCACATTTATTTGAAGAAACGTTTAGTTTGGATATTTATTTATGTTGAACAGAATATTTCGACCAATATTTGTTATAAAATAAATGAGACAGAAACACGGAATAAACTCAAACGTTAGCCTTGCAAAACATCTAAAAAGTTTTACTTAAATATGTCAAAGACACAAACTCCTACCCATACACCTAAAATCATCGCCGCTAATGTCCTCGCAGTCGTTGCGATATTAAATTACATACAAAAGCAAAAAAAAATTATAGTAAAAATAATAGTAAAATAGTAAAATAACAAAAAAGCAAAAAAGCAAAATAGTAAAACAGTAAAATAGCAAAATAGTAAAATAGTAAAATAGTAAAGTAGCAAAGTAGCAAAGTAGTAAAGTAGTAAAATAGCAAAATAGAAAAATAGTAAAATAGGGAAATAGGGAAATAGGAAAACAGGAAAATAGCAAAATAGTAAAATAGTAAAATAGTAAAATAGTAAAATATTAAATTAGTAAATTAGTAAAATAGTAAAATAGTAAAATAGTAAAATAGCAAAATAGTAAAATAGTAAAATAGTAAAATAGTAAAATAGTAAATTAGTAAAATAGTAAAATAGGAAAATAGGGAAAAAAGGAAAATAGTAAAATAGTAAAGCAGTAAAGCAGTAAAGTAGCAAAGTAGTAAAGTAGTAAAGTAGCAAAATAGTAAAATAGGGAAATAGGGAAATAGGAAAACAGGAAAATAGCAAAATAGTGAAATAGTAAAATAGTAAATTAGTAAAATAGTAAAATAGTAAAATAGTAAAATAGTAAAATAGCAAAATAGCAAAATAGCAAAATAGTAAAATAGTAAATTGCAAACTAAATTTAAAGATAGCGTTCGCAATATCGTCACTTTTGTGCATTGAAAAAGTTCGAATAGACTTTCTGAATTATCAGCTACTTGAATGATATATTTTAAATTACAGTAATTAATATCAATCGTGACGCAGAGAACTAAGGGTAGAAAAACATTTGTTTATTCTGATTGTAGATACGCGACAGAAATATCAATTTCTTAAAGAAATTGCGCTTGATGTTCAACTATTTGTGCATGGTACCAGTAATGAAAATACGTGAAAAAGGGAACGTACAACATATTACGTTGTGCAATATAATTCGAAGACCGTAAAAATACATATATTTACAGACGTGCAATTTTTTCGACAAAAAGACGAAATTTTCAATGTTATTCCATTCATTTGCATCACGATACCAGTATTCAGCAGCAATGAAACCTGCAACTAGTAGGCCAATTTTCAAAATCAATTTCTCGCGAAAACAGATATTTTCACGCTGTTATTTCGATTGCATTCCTACCGCGATCGTTTTACAGGGATAACAGATTGTCGATAATCGTCCCTCGAGAGAAAGCGACTCCTGAATATTTCCTTCTTGATCGCGGTGTTTTTCCAGCGGGTTTTTCTCGCCCCCTTTCTCTCCGGAGCTGCATTGTTTCGAACAACGAACGACGTCAAAACACGCGCGGCGATGTTACGTTGCCAGGTTGATTTTACGGCCGCGAATATAAACGCCTGGCCTCGCGCAGATAGAGAGATCGTGCAACACGCGGCCCGCTTGGTCGAAGTGGGGTCCGAAGCGAAGGGGAAATCTGATTTATCGTCGATTACGATCGGTGATTGGATTCTGACGGGTTCCTGTGCGTCATGCGGTGATGCATGAATAACCGTCGATAACGAGTAATGTCACTACTCCGCGCTGACCCGTGCACTTATCCGTCAAAGTACTTTCGATTAAGATGCCCGCGGACGCGTGAACCTTTGTCTCGCATGAACACCAGGGCTGAAATGTTTGCTACTTTTTCTGTGTCGGACATTCGAAGATGTCGGCGATTTATCTGCATAATATTACCAAGTAACGTGATCGTACAGGACGATCAGAGTAGATAGTTAACAGTTGAGACATTTTTTCCTTTCTTTTTTTTTTTTTTTTTTTTTTGAAAATGGTGTAAATCTTATTATTTATTCGTACATTGAGAGATAGTTGACGGATCGCGTTTTAATTAACTAAAAAATACTGGCAAACGTTGATAAATTTGTGTAGCGTTTTTAAGATTGTGAAATATGTTAAATACTGTTATTTACAAATTATATTTACAATAATTATAATAATAATAATAGTAATAGCAGTATATAATACTACAATAATAATAATAATAATAATAATAATAATAATAATAATAGCAGTATATAATACAATAATAATAATAATAAATAAAATTGTTAAAGAAAATCAAAGGCTTTTCTTAGCTGCGAATGAACTTATGTCGCTCACGATGAAAAATTTTGAAAAGACACGAACAATTTTTGAAATTTTACTTTGATTTTTAATTCAAATGTATTTTTTTGACATAAAAACAAAATGAAGATTCGTAAGTAAAATGTAAAATTGACTTTGCTGAAAAGTATTTTCAATTGTGACAAAAAAATTTATAGCAAACTATTTTCATTAGGAACTAACAATAATAATTTTATTATATTTCAATCTTCATACTTGGCATCGTGTTCCTCGTTTTCCAAGTAAATCGAGAATTTTAAACTGTGAATATCCTGATATTGTATAAAAAATTTTGTAGGCTTCACTCCTTTTAAACCTAATCCAACGTATCTTCAGCCAATGCAGAATTCCTCCATCTGTATTTCTTTTTCCATTTGATATTACCTCTTTCAGAAATTTCGTTCAAAATCTTCCTGTTCTATTTCGCGTAAAAGGAAGTTATTTGTTTTTCGACAATTATTTATTTAAGTTATAATAGTCCTGATGTCACTTTCAGAAAAAAAAGAAAGAAATTTTTGGAATAACATTTAACAGTTAAACTTCTTTTCACGAATTTATATATATTGTACAGCACTGATTTTCTTGTTGTAAATATGAAAAGAAGACATCCATGTCTAACTAAAATTAGCCTTAACTTATTCTTTTTTAAAATTTACATCGTTTTTTTAAGAAAAAATGGCTTATTCGAACATCTTCGTTGTTTTCGAAGACATGAAAAAGTTCTATTAACAAAAATTGTTTGGCATAATTGAAGAGAGCTATAACTTGTTGAAAGAGTTTCAGATAACCATTACTTTTGGATGTAAATGGAATTATATATCTTTTTATGCGTTAATCGATAAAAAATGTCTCGAGAGATTAATAACTTAGGAAATAATTGAACTTCAATTTTGTAAAATCGTATGGAGGCCGAGGGAGAACAGAAAACTTTCATGCAACTTCAGTTTCAATTATCTTACAAATCACTGCTTTCAACTTCGTTTAGTAATAAATTTCTTAATTCTTGTAACGTAGTTACGATACATTAAAAATAACAAACGAAACTGAGAACATCGACGAAATAGGAAAATATCGTTTGAATGATTATTTAAATAATATTTCATACATGCTCAAAATAATCTTGCATTCATTCATCAACAAGCAAGTGATTCTTCTCGAAAGTTATTTCATTATTCAGCTATCAAGTAAATCTTAATCTTTTGCCCTATTTTATTTCTGCAAATAATTCCTCAAGTAATTTATGACTTTGCTTGTAAGAAATATCTTCAACTACGGTCGGAAACACAAAATTTTTCACAACGTCTCATGCACATATCGTAGAAGATTTATCGTCGGAATAATTACACAGTATTACTACTAACAGCTGGTTTATTCGACATTGTGCAGAAAAGTTTAATTTCTGACTAAACTTCAGTTCTATCATCTATGAATCAACTCGAGCAAAACATTCTTTGCAGATGTACTTCTCTTCCTCTTCAAAAATTATTAAAACTAAAATTCAAAAATTTGAAAAATTATTTAACATCTATACAAACACTCTTCAATCGATAATGTTGCCTCAATTAATAATATTAAACGAAGTAAGGAATAAAACTGTGTAATTATTCCAACGATGAAAAAAAGAAATCCGAGTTGAATATATTTATATAGAAACAGAATCCTCAACGTTACAAAATATTCTCCCCCTCTCTCTCTTTCTCTCTCTCTCTCTCGTTCCTTCTACTCTGCACGAAGAAATCAATTTTTCAGGACACCGATCGCCGAATGATTCGGTTGATTCGAGGGACAAGTGGAAAATGAAAACGTCGCTTTATTCGGTTTTCCCTTTTCCCGGAGCGGTATTACCGACAAAAACCAACGAGAAGCGAGAAGAACAGACACGGTGGCGGCAGAGTTGAAACCGGGTCGGTGAATCACGGCAGAAATTGCCAGAAAATGGAGGATCGATGGAAACGAGAAGGAAGGAGCGAGGTGAAAATCGCGACGGGTGGACGGAGATGCCTCGCGGATACTTTTCATCGGACGGCTTCGCTCAGTTCGTACCAGCGCGAGTCCCGCGATTTCTTATTACATCAACGGGCGCAACGACCAACACGGCCAGGCCAATAAGCTGAAAACTGGCAACTTACAGCACGATCGCCGAGATTGCGCACCCTGCAGGGCAGGAAAGCGGTTTGGCCGACGGTCGTCGTGGTGTCCCTCTTCGTTGTGTTGTCGAAGTAAGGCTGGTTGAAGGGTTGCTCCCAGTAAGAAGGATGGTGCTCCACCACTGAACCACCGGACTTTGCCGCACACTCTGCCAAAAGCAATGAACACCGTTAAAATCTCGTCGAGACTCTTATTTGTAGAAGGTTATATTACTCTTATCCACAAGATTGTGAAAGAATTTTGTATATTATTTGTAAAGAAAGTCGATAAAGTACAATAAAATTCTCATTAAACATCGATCATAAAACAGATACAGAGGACCCATCGACCTTATAGCTCGACCTGCGAGATCCCTAGAAGAAATAAGGATTATGTGGACTATAAATGACACAGACGAGGTCAATTGGATTCAATACGAGCTATGTACGAATTGTATAATTGTACAAATCGTATAATTATATATATATATATATTTTACATATTGTAGCATTAATAGCAGGCTTAATCCTTTGCGCTGGCAAATGGTTCGAGTCACCAAACCGTACACAATAATTCACTGGATAGAAATTATTGAGAATTTTTTATTTGTTTTGCCTATTTTGTTTTACTTAAATATATAATTTTACTTATTATAACATGTTATGTTATAATATATAATATATAATATGTTATAACATAATCTATGTTATACCTAATATAACCTATATTCTAGTTAAATACATTGACGTTTAGTGTGTTTATTGTTAAACTATATTACAGATTAATGCCGTATTAACTTTTAAATAGAATAGAATTTTCCACAGTGTCGGAAAACGACATTAGTTATAAATATCCTTAACTACTTGCGATGGCAACTGATTGCGGACCATAACGAGTGACCAAATATATAATTTTACTTATTATAACATGTTATGTTATAATATATAATATATAATATGTTACAGCGTAACCTATGTTATGCCTAATATAACCTATAATTTAGTTAAATACATTGACGTTTAGTGTGTGTTTATTGTTAAACTATATTAGAGATTATTGCTGTATTAACTTTCAAATAGAATAAAATTTTCTACATATAATTCGTCGCTTTCTTTTCCTTTTGAACTGATCGTCACGATATTACTGGATAGAAGTAATAGAGTAATTAATAAATTATTAAGAAGTAATAGAGTTATCATTTGTTTTTGGGTTTTTTGGTTTTTGGGTTATTTAAATATACCTAAAACTGAGAGAATGTTGCAATTTAGGACAAAAAATTGTCGACGTGCGTGTTACGTCATTCCACCACAACTTTTAGCTGTAGTGCGTTTAATTATAAGCATGATCCAAGGAAGGACAGGCTTGGAAGATAACTTTGAAGGGTCGTAAAGAGAGGAAGAACAGGCACATCGGGGGGAATACGTGAAAAGAGGGAAAGTATGAGAGTGGTGGGAGAAGAAAAAAATTGATTGAGTCGTGGAGGAGTAGTCGGATTGATCATTTGTAGATTAATTTGTATTCGTTATCTATGTTTAATCGCCAGCGCCACTATTAAATACATATATGTACATTTCTTATAATTAAATCTCACATTATTTCGGACACAGCGAAGTCTTGAATTCTAGACAGAATCTGTTTCGAGAAAACGATTCAACTTTCAAGCCGCCCGATGGGACGTGCGCGTCCCGGAGAAACTGCAGAGCATTCTACCGAGTAATAAATATTTAATTCCATTTAACCAAGGTTGCAGCGGTATGATTATTAGGTTGGTAAACATTTCCGCGAGGAGCATTCCAACCGTGCAGTGTTGCTTGTTACGTTTAATTCTTTGGGTCTCGGTGGGACGCATACACCCTGGATAAATTTTGAAACGAATTCTTTTTTAATTTGAAATTAGCATGGAATTTTGTTTGGTGGAAGTTTATTAATGTACATAACTTATTTCATTTCACGTAAACAAGAGAAAATTCTTGAATTTTATATATTTACATATTTCGTACGTAATGTCTTTGCATTGAAAGATGTATTTGATAGCGTTTAACTATTTACTATGATTATTGATCAATAATAAGGCTGGCATGTGTACGATTTATTTTTCATATCCACTGAGACGTAACATCTTAAAATATTTGCAAACGAGTTCTTTTGAAATTTAGTGCACGAAAGGCAATGACAATTAAAAGGAAAAGAATACTTCAAAGTTAAAAATCGAAAAATGGGACTGATATGGTTAAAATGTTTAACCAAGCATGGTTAAATTGGTTCGCTATTTGAAAAGTGAAGATGATCAAGAGAAGAATATTCTATAATAGCGATTGTTTTAGTCCAGGAAGACAAAAGACTCGCAAAAGATAAAGTTTCTAGCAGTAAAGCTATATTACGCAAACAAGAAGTTAATTTAGAGTTTATTTTTTTAGCAACAATACAAATAACAAAGAAATAGGTGTTACAACGTCAAATCAGAGTAATTTGCTAATATTATATAAAACCATCTTCGAAGAGATTGAGTGAGATTCTTTATCGAAAACTGAAACGCAATAGACTAGACGCTGGACTATGGATAACTACACTTTGTCTCATGCATGGGAGCAAATGCCTAACAAATTTAGGATTTAAGATTAACCCTAACTTAAGCAAATTTATTTATTAATTAAAATAATAAGCAAATGTCTAACAAATTTAGGATTTATGATGGAGAATAAATGTTTTATTTATTGCCCTATAATTTAACAACGTAACTCAGGTTACAGCTAGTGATAATTACTTGATTGTGAAACACATATATGTATAATTTCTCATGAAAATACTCGAATACAGAGAAGTCACATGAATACATTATGTGTGCCATATATAGTATTTTGAAAGTTTATAAACCGTTATTTGAAATTTCATTAAGACAGACAATGAATATCGTGCAAGACCGTCATGATTATATTTTTATCATATTGTATCAAATTTTATATTGTATCAAATTTGGAACAAATCCAAATTATTAATCAATTCGTGTGATTTCCTTCCATGGATTAAAATTTCGAATTTAAAAACATCCTCGAACAAACTTTTAATTGATAAATTACTTTATTAAAAAATTCTTAATGCCTTTTATTAAAAATTTATTTATGTTTTTATTTATTACTTTAAAGAAATAATTATTTATTTATTTATTACTTTAAAGAAATTTATTAAAAATTTCTTTATGTCTTTTATGAAAAATTTATTTATGTTTCTATTTATTGCTTTAAAGAAATAATTATTTATTTATTTATTACTTTAAAGAAATAATTATTTATTTATTTATGTCTTTATTTATTACTTTAAAGAAATAATTATTTATTTATTTATTACTTTAAAAAAATTTATTAAAAGTTTCTTTATGTCTTTTACAATACACATAATATATACGTTAAGTTATAAGTTCTTCTACAACAAATGTGGACAAAAATTGACAAAAATCTGATAAATTTCTACGAATACCAAGGCTTCTTTGGTGATTCTATTTTTTTAATTCATTCGTGAAATTATAAATGTTTCGTAAAATAAGAAAATATAAATATCCAGGCTTGTTTCACCGATTTTAAATCTCTAAATAGTTGTTATATCTGCGAGGAGAGTACATGATTATAAAAATTCTCTTTGTCCGAGGTATTATTATTCATTAGGCTACGTGGCAGAGAACGGGATTTGAATTTTAATGGGAACGTGCCTGAAAGAATTAATACGATCAATAATCGATAACTCATTAGTAACGCAAATGCGGCAAGCACGATTTTTTTAGCGGAATAATTTTGGTAACTAAATCAAAAGTTTGAAAATGGATTAGCAAATTTATGGAGCGGAAGTTGATCATTTTTCTTCCATATCGCAGCTAGATCTAGCATACATCTTTTTTTCCCTTGTAAATTTATATGGCGGTCGATACACTTTTGTATTACTGTTTTCCATAGCAAAATCAAATCAGTTTAACTTCAGTTTGTAAAAATAACTCTCATACTTTTTTCGTGTCTCTCCAATAAACTGTAAAAGGCACGTTGTGCTTGTCGAAATAGGAAATATTTGTAGGGTAAAATATTTTCGTATAATTTGTCGACTGACACTCTAGAAATCAAAGTTGTTCATTTCCACATATTCTGAATATTTCTCTTATTTTGTCTATCTTATTTTTGCAGAAACAAAAAAAAAAAAAATATATGTCAAGACAAAGTTGTTTGCTTCAGAACGACACACGTTGCGAGTTTTCCTCTCGAGATCAGTTTTTGAATTTTTCCTAATGTGATTGCATATTTTTTCATGCACCAATCAATGTGCATTTTCATTCTCTACAAAAAAGATTGTACCTAAGAATTACTTTGAAAGTTATTTTAACATTAATTTCACCGAATTTATCTATGAAAGGTAAATATGAAAAATACAAAAGAGAGTTTCCTTTTCTATCGTCGTTACTATTTTCGTTAGAAAATGTTTCAAGTCTTCAGAAAATTGCGATCATACTTTGTATCGATTTGTTACCAAAAAAGTCGCTTTTTTACCATCTTTCGTCTTTCTAGATATTTACAATGCTCTGTCACTCTTTGCACTGCTCTAATATTAGCTGTTACCCCATTTTTAACAGCTTACCTTGCAGTTAATACAGAATTCGATGCATGCTTTAAGATTGCACGCCTTCCTCGCGACTTTATTACTCTCGGTCGATCACCCCGACATTTCTCAACGTAATTTTCACCGTTTTTCAAACAACTGTATATCACACATCGACTTCTGTCTCATATTTCAACAATTAAATTCAGCATTCAATTTTCTCGCGTAAACGAACTATTTTTAATGTTAACGTTGATGTACATTTAATATTTTACATCGAAGATATTTCTTGCGCGTGTTTTTTCATTTCTCACTGAAATTCTTGGTATCTGTAGAATTCTTGGGGCTGTACGAACAGTTACTATACAAAGTAAACATCAGAAACGAAGGATTAAGAAAATTCTCGGTCGAACACAATATTCTTTCAATATTTCTGAATGTCTTCTATTCCGTCGCGAAATGTATACAATATGTAGGATATTATTAACTCTCTATATATTATTTATTAAACGTTTATATATTATATTATATATTATTTGTTAAACGTTTATATATTATATTATATATTATTTGTTAAACGTTTATATATTATAT